TGGACATGCGCAGAGACAAGCCAGGGGATGAGAGCGCCAGGCACGTCGGCCTTGCGCTCCAGGGGAAAGACTGTGGTGTAGCGAGTGAAGTCGTCGACAAGCACAAGGAAGTAGCGCTCTCGACGCGGCCCAGGGACAGGGGCGGGGCCCCATACGTCCAGGTGCAGGGTCTGCAACGGTGCGGCGGTAGGGGGAAACGAGGAGGAGTGAAGGGCACGGCGAAGTCGACCCTCGACACAAGGCGTGCAAGGTGGGGCTGGGGAGGAGGGAAACGCAGGGAGAGAACCTGGGAGACCAAGGACAAGACCGTGCTGGGACATGTGACGCAGACGCGGGAGCGCAGGGTGACCTAGGCGGTGGTGCCAAAGGAGGGTCGGGTGAGTGAGGGACCGACAGGAGCAGGCGGCAGCAACCTGGGTGAGCGCTCCAGCCGGGGGGGTCACGGTGTCCAGAGTGAACAGGCCGGACACCGGGTCCCGGGGGAACGTGGACAGGGGGGCACCAGTGGCGGCCTCGGTACAGACAGCATACCGCTCGTAACCAGGGAACGTAGTGGTGACGCCAAGGTCCTGGAGGCAGCCGACACCAACTAGGTTCCTGGAGAACGAGGGGATATGCAGACCTGTAAGAGAGCCCGAAGGAACTGCCGGACAGGGAAGGGTGGTGGAACTGCGGGCGACTACCGGACCGCCAGAGGGGTCAGCGAGAGAAACGGCAGCAGGGACGGGAAGCGGCGTCAGGGTGGTGGAGTCGCGGAAGAAACACCGAGAAGCGCCAGAGTCCAAGGTGAAGGAAAGCGAAGCAGAGGCGTCTGGCGACGGAACGACGACGGAAGCACCAAGACTACACAAAGCAGAGGATCCTACGCCTGACGCAGCAGGGGAGGGTACACTAGGCACACCTACACTAGGCAACAGTGAGTCATAAGCGGGAAGCACACTAGAGTCATCAGCATACATCACATGCAGAGCAGAAACAATGGCATCCATGTCCATATCAAAAATCTGAATCTTACGACTAAGCAAACTGTGCCAGTCCGGGAGGTCTGGCGACGGGCCGAAGCGCTGACGAAAGAGGTCGTCCAGGCGACGAAAACAGCGGGGAGTGGAGTGACCGAGCTTACCGCAAACGAAGCCGCGGCGAGGACCGGTCTGGATCTGGTACTGACAGTGCCCGCCGCCAGAGCTACCACTCGACACACCACCACGCGCCCGGCCACCGCCAGCGCCGGGCCACCCGGGCGGGAGGACACTCGTCTGCCGCGGCTGCGACGGCTGCGGCGGCTGCTGCGACGGCTGCGACTGCGACGGCTGCTGCGGCTGCTGCAACTGCAGGGGCGGCGACTCAGCTGGACTGGGCAGGGTCCCCTCGTTCGCTCCAGCACCAGGCGACCCGACCCCACCACTACCCCCGCCCGCACCCCCGCCGCCCCCTCCGCCGCGCCCAGCCTTGGGGCGGCGGCCCTTCCCAGAACGGGCCTGCGCTGCAGCAGCAGTCTCAGCCACTGCGGCAGAGCCGTCGGAGAAGGTACACTGAGCGGGGGCACAACCCTGAAAGATAGGGACCGGCACTACACCGCTCGCCTGGGCGATGGAGCAGTGACGGGTCTCTATCACAGTCAGGGTGTCGACAAAGTCAGTGAGGGTGAGGTCTGCGGGGTGAACACTAAGGAAGCGGTCGCGGGCGACAGCAAGGCAGTCAGGGAGGCGGGTGGCAAGCAGGTAGAGGGTAGAGGTAATGGGCGGCTGGTGGGCTCTAAGCTGTGCGTCAGTGCAGGCGGCGCGCCAGGTCTCCTCTATCGAGCGCAGGTGGGCAGCGAGGTCAGAGACAGTGGGGAAAGATGCAAGGTCAGGAAAGAGCATCGGGAGGATCAGGCGACCCACCGAGGCAGCCGGAGGGGTGGAATAGCGCTTGATGACAGCATCTAAGTATGCCTGAGCAGTAGTGAGGGACCTAAAGCGAGGACGCTCGGACGGGGGGAGGGCGTTGCTAATGGCAAGCTGGGCGACAGCATCGCGAGAAAGCCAGACAGAGCGCGCACGGGCAGTGGCAGCAGTAGACTCACGCTCAGTGGGTGTGGGGTCAGCGGGCAGAATAGCAGGGGGGTCTGGGCAGGGGAGCGTACCGTCAAGGTGTGCGGAAAGCGGTTCACCATCCTGCCGCTGTCCAGTGAGCTGGCGGCGGAGGTCGGCAAGCCACGCCTCGAACTCTAGGGGCTGACCTTCAGCGTCGAAGCGAAGCTCCGCCGCCATCAGGAACAGTCCAGTGCGGTGCAGGGCGGTGCAGTGCAGTGCAGTGCGGTACAGTGCGGTGCAGTGCGGTGCAATGCGGTACAGTGCGGTGCAGTGCGGTGCAGTGCGATGCAGTGCGGTGGAGTGCGGTGCAGTGCGGTGTAAGGCAGTACAGTGTGGTGCGTGGCGGTACAGTGCAGGGCAGTGCAGGGCGGGGTGGGGGGGAACCGTACCAGTGAGGAGGACGGGGCCGGGGCAGCGGGGCCGGGCAGGTGCGACCGAGCCGGGCGAGGACGACGGGGCCGGGCGGGCGCGACGGGGCCGGGCTGGTGCGACAGGGCCGGGCCGGGGCGACGGGGCCGGGCGAGCGCGACGGGGCCGGGCAGGGGCGACGAGGCCGGGCGGGGGCGACAGGGCCGGGCCGGTGCGACGGGGCCGGGCGGGCGCGACGAGGCCGGGCTGGTGCGACGGGGCCGGGCGGCTGCGATGGGGCCGGGCAGGGTGCGACGGGGCCGGGCGGGTGCGACGGGGCCGGGCGAGCAGGACGGGGCCGGGCTGGTGCGACGGGGCCGGGCTGGTGCGACGGGGCCGGGCGAGCGCGACGGGGGGCCCAGGAGGGGCGCTGCAGGGGTCCAGGAGGGGCGCGACGGGGCCCAGGAGGGGCGCTACGGGGCCCAGGAGGGGCGCGACGGGGCCCAGGAGGGGCGCTACAGGGTCTGGGAGGGGCGCGACGGGGCCCAGGAGGGGCGCTACGGGGCCTGGGAGGGGCGCGACGGGACCCAGGAGGGGCGCTACGGGGCCTGGGAGGGGCGCTATGGGGCCCAGGAGGGGCGCGACGGGGCCTGGGAGGGGCGCGACGGGACCCAGGAGGGGCGCTACGGGGCCCAGGAGGGGCGCTACGGGGCCCAGGAGGGGCGCGACGGGGCCTAGGAGGGGCGCGACGGGGCCCAGGAGGGGCGCTACGGGGCCTGGGAGGGGCGCGACGGGGCCCAGGAGGGGCGCTACGGGGCCTGGGAGGGGCGCGACGGGACCCAGGAGGGGCGCTACGGGGCCTGGGAGGGGCGCTACGGGGCCCAGGAGGGGCGCGACGGGGCCTGGGAGGGGCGCGACGGGGCCCAGGAGGGGCGCTACGGAGCCCAGGAGGGGCGCGACGAGGCCCAGGAGGGGCGCTACGGGGCCCAGGAGGGGCGCTACGGGGCCAAGGAGGGGCGCGACGGGGCCTGGGAGGGCCGCGACGGGGCCCGGGAAGGGGCGCTACGGGGCCCAGGGAGGGGCGCGACGGTTCCCAGGAAGGGGCGCGACGGGGCTAGGGGGGGGGTCGCGACGGGGCTAGGGGGGCGAGCGGAAGCGGTAGGTGGGGGGGGGATCCTACCTACGCGTGATACCATATCAAAAATTGAAGAAGTGAATAGATGTTAGAGAGAGGGTACACACAGATATACCTAAGTGTTGTACCCTTTAAGAGGCTACCCTATACAGTCTATACAAACATGACAAATACACATGTTTGACAGAAAGGTCCGGAACTGTCCTAAGGGTTCATGGGAGTTCGATTGTGCGCATTAAGCCATAGAACTCGGTAAGGAATGAAAATAGTTCCTTACATTTTCATTCAAAACAAGCTAAACTTGGTGTGGCTTCTTGTTATGTATGGAACTGCCGAGTAGCGCAGAGGGCAATGGCGAAACTGTGAACGAGTGAATGCCAATAAAATGAGAGACAAGACAATATATAGGAACATCTAGGGCCATCCTGGTGGTAGGATAGGAAGGTTTGATAAAGATATCGAAGGGCCTCTTGTCGAGTGACCCGCTGGGGTTACCCTTGAGAAGATCCTCGGGGAAGGGCCACAGGTGCAGAGCATGGGGGGCTATGGGCACACTAACCCGCTATTAATAAGCCCTTTTAACTCAAGTGTAGAAGGGAGGTCCAGAAAGGCCCAGGAGACTCGCTTCTAAAGGTTTGGTTGGGGTCTGTTCAGGTCTGTTCGAGTCTGTTAGAGTCGTACGCCTTGTAGCAAGCCTCAGTAAGGAATTTCTAATTCCTTATACTTCTCGGGTTGTAACCCTTGTAGCATCGACCGTTGGCAGGCGCGGAATTCCAGCTGTGTGCCTCAGCGAAATTGACACCATCGAGTGGGGTACAACAGAAAACATTCCTTGGGGAACAAGTGGTGACGGTTTCCTCTGTTCAGGGCAGTTGCGTGTCCCCCAGCTGGGACGCCAGCTGCCAAAACTTCCTGCGGAAGCGTCTCCAGCGGCAAGCGTGTCACGAAAAGCCGTGTCAAATCTACGCAGCTACCCCTGGAAAACAATCCCGTGACACGCTACAGCGTGAAATGAAACACAGATACAGTAACCCCACAAAGGATATTGCGTCTTGTAGGAAAAGTCTGAGCAAACATCACGGTTCTTTACAGATTTTGCTGGACCCTTCCCCTCCCTACCAGCCTGGCGCTCAACACACAGAAGAACAAGAGCCAAGAATCATGATGACACGAGAGTGTCTCGTCTCATTGATTTGCGCATTTGGATTTTGTTGCTGCTCCTCCTGAACCTGCCAACAACCTACGCGGAGATTCCCTCCCAACCTACGATGGGCTGTTTGACCTGCGGCCCAGATGTCCAGTTGGCTGGGTAGCTACCTCCCCTTCGGTTGGTTGGTTGCGCGACTAGATGTCGAAATTCTTTCAACGTGCGACGCGGTGAGAACGTCAGCGGTAACAAAACGCATGAAAGCACGAGTGCCGCATTTACAGCAGCACCATACCTGACCAAACGACCACATATGTTCCACGTTACTTGGCAAGTAACTCCAGACTCCAGCCACGAAAAATCCCCCTCTTTCAAGTCCGCTACGTACAATGAAAGGCAGCGAACCTCCTCCCAAGGCGGCAGACCTTTTTTCCCTCACGTCACGTCCCGTTTCAAGATACAAAAGGTTTCTCTCGCAGACGCCGGCCGCCGAGAGTAAAGCCTCTCCATCCGCCGCTCAGGCAGGGGGAGCGTTTTTTCACCGCCGTCGGCCCCTCGCCGCGCTGATCCACCTTCCACCCACCTCCCAGGCCCTCGCGCTAGCGTCTCTTTCCTCCCACTTCAATGTCTCTTCAAACTGCGGAGGCGTTCAGACATTGGGCGGCAATCAATTCAGCGTCCAAAACGGCGTTCGAAGCGGCGGCCAAACCGGCGGCCACAGAGGCGGTCGTAGCACTGCTGCCATTGACAGAAGTCAGCGGCTTGAGGAATCCGTTCTCAAGTCCCAGATTCAAGGACTCGCACTTCGTACGACCGACGGCTCGTTGTCGGTGGCCTTTCGGGGCCAAGAGCGGGCGCAACGCCGTGACGGCGCTCCAAATCCGCCCGTTCTGAAGCCACTTCAGTACCGCGACGATTGCCAGCCGCAGCATGAGCAGCAGCAGCAGCAGCAGGTGCTGCGGCAGGTGCAGCAGTTGCGGCAGCGGGCGTTTCGTTTTCCATTACTACAAGTGCCGCTGGATCATGCGAAGAGCAAGCGACTGGAGGACGTTGTCGCAGAGCTCAACCAGATTCCGGTTCAAATCGAAGAAACACACCCTTCCGCGTACTATTACCGCGATTTCCCCGCATCGTCCTTAACTAGTTGCTCCCCTGCCGGCGGCATCCTTCCTAGCTCACTCCCCTCCCTCGTGAGCGGCGCGGGGGCGTGCGCCAGCGACGAGAAGAAGACATACGCGAACGCTGCTTTCAGGTTGAACGTTGCTTCAAGCGAGACAGTGAATTTGAGCGCTGTTGGGGCAGCTGCGGCGCCAGCAGTCGCAGTTGCAGCAGCAGCACCATCAGCATCAGTGACGGATGTCGCGATGGAAAACGACGAAGATTGTGATGATTGCACTCGCCAACGACACAGAGCTGTGACGGAGGGAATGGCCAGTTTAAGGCTCGGAACGGGTGGAGAGGAGGGGGAGGCGGAGGAGGAGGAGGTGAAGGAAGCGGAGGAGGAGGCGGAGGAGGCTGAGGAGGCGGAGGAGGGGGAGAAGGCGGAGGAGGAGGCGGAGGAGGAGGCGGAGGTGGAGGGGGCGAGGGAGGCAACGAGGGATGCAGAGCGGGAGCGAGACAGTGAGAAAGGGGTTACGAGTGAGCAGGAGAGGCATCGGCTGGTGGCACTGCTGGTGAGTTACGTTGAGAGGATGAAGAAACGGACGAAGCTCCAGGATAAGAAGGAGAAGAGGAATCGCTGGTCTGCGCATGGAGATCATGCTCAGCATGGTGGTCATGCTTACCAGGCTGGTGCGAGCAATCAGGGCCAGGGTCAGATGGAAGAGACTCTTCATCCCGGGGTGAGGCGCGAGGTGCTGCAGGTGATCTCTGAACGAGGGATTACCCTGCCTACTGCCGCGCGCCAGCAGCACAGCTGTAGTGCAATGAGCGTTGCTGCGTTGCTGCCAGTACCAGCAGCAGGGACACTATCAACACCACTTCCGCCACCAGTTCTGACATCTGGTCTAACATTACTCCGTACATCTGTGCCAGCGTCACCGCCAGCATCAGCACCACCACCATTGCTAGTAAGGCCGCCCACCTCTCGTCTGCAGCGCTGGTCATCTCTTCCGGTCCAGTCTTTAGAAGCAATCATTCCATCGCCGCCCTTGTCAGCTTCCCCTTTTTGGAAGACATTGGCACATCAATCCCCTCTCAGGCATTCCACTTCCAGCCAACGTCCTGCTGCCAGACCTTTGCCATCAGTCCAAGAGCCTGTCAGCATGAGGTTGCAGGAAACTCAGATTGCAGTCCCATTCTGCTCTCTGAGTGATAGGAGAGTTGAGGTAGATGCCACACAGAAGCATCAGCAGCAGCAACATCATCAGCAGCAGCAGCAGCAGCAGCAGGAGCAGCAGCTGCAGCAGCAACAGCTAGTACCATCAGAGCCACGCTACCCTAAGCCAGAACCTAGTGGGCTACGGCGATGGTCGTCCCTTCCTGTCGACACCTCGCTTCCTGCAGGCGTGAATCCATGGGCAGCAGGTGGCAGTCCAAGCCAATGCTCCCCATTGTTACAGCTCACCGAAACTGTTCCGTGGTACGCGCATGAAGATCCGCTGTTCTCGTCAGCTCAATTGGGGATAGCAACGAGCTGCGGAGCTACCTGGAGCCGGGAACGCTCGTTCCAGGCCTCAAGCTTGCTCCCAACCTCTCACAGTGCGGCCAAACCAGCAAGCAGCAACCTTGATGTACAGAAAGAACTGCTGCTCCCGAAGGAGGCTGCAGCTTTGGCTGTGCTAAGCTGCCTGCACGGGTCGGAGGACACGCCTATGATGCCGATGCTCGGTGTAGAGCCGAAAGAATTGGGTGTGCCTGTTGCACGAATGGAGGGCATGGCTGTCGAGGAGCAGGTCGAGCTTGACCTCAACTTGCACCTATGAGGAATTGTTGCAAAGTTCAACATTCACCTGAATGCACTTTATTACATTTTGTCAAACATATTGTTATATGTTGCTGTAGATTAGATAGGGGCATGCCTTAACGAGTACAACATTTTAGGTCAAAACCACCGTGTACCCTGTTCTCTACATTCATTTCCGCTACTCTGAGATGGTATCATAGTAGTTTAGGTCCGCCCACTAGGGCTGAGGTTTAAAAAAAAAGCCCCTTGAGCTGTAGAATGGATTTTTTTTTTTTACCATGAGGGCCTTGTGTTGAAATTTTGGCTTCCCCGATTTCTCAGTGTTCTGGAACATGCAACCCTGAAACTTCCAGGGTTGGCTAGCCACAAACAGGGTTGCATTGTACTTGCAAAAAATCAGTTAAGAGAACGTTAGGATTGTACAGCTAGTAGTTTAGCAAAAGCACCACTACGCCAATCTACAGATTCAGTTAAGTCCTCTATCTAGTCTAGACTTCACAAGATTCCATGCCACTAGCTACCCTTAACTAAAATTATGGGCCATCCATGTTCACTTCGTCCTCTGCCTCGTCATCGGACAGAAATGGGTTGTCTTCCACTTCAGGAGGAGCCTCTCCCCCCTCTACCCCCACCTCTCCCTCATCCTCTGCCCAATCCCCCATGTAGTCGGGGACTGCCTCCTCCTCCACCCTCCCTTCTGCCCCCTCAATCGCCTTGGCCTTACGCTTCCTCTCCGCTGAGGCAAACAGAACAGACTTAGCAGGGCGCCTCAGCTCCTCGCGCCAACACTCAAGGGCCTCGTCCCAGTCAATCTCATACTGCAGCAGGGAAATGACCATCAGCTCGCTGAGGCGCGCATTGCACAACGCGCCCCGCACCCATGACTTGATGACGTTCTGCCGCGAGAAGCCTCGTACACACTCCATTGTGCTAAGCGGCAGGACAGCGCACGCCTGCCACAAGTGCATCAGGTTGGGCCAGCGCCTGCCAAAAGGGTTGGGGGAACAGACTGCAAAGAACAAGACCAGTGCATTAGTGCAACTAGTCAACAAGCGATAAACAACAAGTTCCAAGGGGAAGATTAGAACCGGCCCGAAAACATGCAACAAACGTACTTCGAACAGCAGCCACTCACAAGGTCGACTCCGTCGAGCCGAGGTAGTTCGTCAGGCCTTGATGGAATCCCTCCTCGGCATGGTGGCTCAGCATGATTGGCGCCCACGTAACCTGCTCCTTTTGCGCAGCTTGCAAGGTAAAGCCTGGCAGCCTGTTGTCGAAAAAGGCACTGCAGCCATGTAGGTACTCCTTCAGCTTCTTCTCTCTCTGCTGCTTCATCCGGGGCCACTTCGACACGCGGAAGAGCTTCGTCGGGGCGAGATTGTTCAGGTCCAGCATCCTCGTCTTCAGGGAGCTTATCGTGTCCTTCACGAACTGCGCGCAACCGGGGTAGTTGCTGCAGAAGGCATGCCCGTCGATCTGCTTCTCATGCATGGTGTAGGTGTGCGTGACTGGGCTGCCGTCCTTGTCGATGCCCCGCACCTTAACGCGTTTGTTCCCTCCGCGCCCGTAGACGGCCAAGAAAGCTGAAAGCCACGTGCCTTCGACCCCACCACCGAACACCTCTCTGCACTCCAGGTAGCGGTGGCGGAGGTTCTCTGTCGCCTCGTCGATGTCCTTCGTCACTTCGGTGACATCGACCTGGTGGAAGTGACAGACAAGGGAGTGGAGTCAGAGGGTGATTCCAAACGTGCATGCATGGGACTACAAGTACAACATGCACAGTGGTAGAAGCTCACCTCCCTCTTCTGGATTTTGAGGTTGAGCTCATTCATCACTCCGAGCACGTCCGCTAGGAAAAAAAGGCAGAACTGGAACTTGTAACAGATGACGACTTCATACAGCTCATGCCCGTACTCATGAAACAGAATAATAGCGGCGCCAAGGACCTTACAGAGGTGCCGCACAGCCTCACCCCTTGAAAGCCAGCGCACGGTGTGAATTCCTTGCACTTCAAGGTTGGTGTTGTGTATTGCCCGCTGCAGGTACTTGAAGCGTTGACTCCAGACACATGAACGTCCCAGAAGATCGGCCAGAGTCCGAATCACAAGGTCGACCATGTCGAAGTCTGGAGAAGCAGTGGCGGCGTCCTTCACCGCCAGGGCTTCCCTACATGGTGCACACACAGGAACTTTAGTCAAGCTGTTGTAGGAAACCTAAGCGACTGAAATGACAAGCGGTTCAACCTGTGCGCGATGCAGTGTGAAGAGACGAGATGGGGGATGTGCTCGCGAAGTCGGGCGACGAGACCATTGTCTTAGCCGACCATGACAGAGGCGCCGTCGGTGCTCATGCCGGTGATTCGGGAGAGATCGATGCCAGTTGCTCGTAAGTGAGCCAGAAGAACGGCGAGGAGAGACGCGGCGTCGCACTTTTCGATGGTCAAGAGAGAAAAAAACTCTGTGACAACACGATGCACACACAAGAAGGTTAGATAAACAATGAGATGTTTACCTCGAGTACGGTCAGTGCTCTCGTCGCAGCTGATGCCGAGGTAGGGTGAGGCGAGAATGTGGTGCATTTGTCGGTGCTGCAGGTAGGATGCCAAGCTCTTGACGAGCTGACAGAAGCCATACCTGTAGTAGCAGAAGTAGCAACAGGGAGGTTGTTAGACCTATTAAATAATGAAGGATATGGTGTATTTGGAATCAGAGCATTACCGTGTCAGGTAGACTCCGTAAGATTGCAGCGGAATGTCTGGGGTCTCCTGCTTGGCCATGAAGCGGAGTAGCCTCGGGTACATGCTGATGGGTGCATCACGCTTGCACAGGAAGTCGACGCAGCGTAGGAGCCTCATGACGCATTTCCCCTCGATGTCACTCCGCGCGTAATTCTCCATGCGCCTCTGGGTGCTGGCGATGTCTTCGGCGATCTCCATCTGACGCTTGACTGCTACTTCGTGGGCTGACGTGTGTTCGTGGAACCGCATCGCTTGTGTCTGCAGGCCACGTGCCCCGTCGCGACTGTTGGAGTACGGTGTTGTCTCTTTTCCAAAAGCCTTGCACACACTGCACTTCACCGCAGGGTAACCGTCTTTCGTTTTCGTTAGCAGAAGCCAAGGGAAAAATGGAAGCCAGCTGGTCTTATACTTGTGCTCAGCCATGAGATACTTTTGCTCGATGAGTTCTTTCTTCGAGAGCTTCGGCGGCTCGGATTCTGGAATAGCAGGGGCCTGAGGTTCAGGCGACGTGCGAGGAGGCGACGGTCGACGTAGCTTCCCGCTGAGGACTATCGTACTCTGGGTGTACTTCCTGATGCGTGCTTTTTTCCTAGATGAAATCGTGGAAGCACACTCGACCGTGTAACGCACACTCGTGGCTGTCTCGCAGGCTGGAACCCAAGGGCCCCGGCTAGATGAAGCGACAGCGGGCGGAGGAACATAGGGAGTGGGAGTAGATACGGGTTGTGATGGTGTTGCGACTGCGGTGGGAGACCGCAAGATATCTAGAGAGGATCTAGGGATCTCCACGGGGGGGTCCCTACCTAGTCCAAAACCATCATCAGCGGCGGGAGACTCACCAGACTCTCCTACATCCGCCATGGCTAGTAGCGTCGGATATGATCAAAACGAGAACTAGGCGCGACGAAAGTGGACGAGAAAGAAGAATGGAGCATCTCGTATCTGCGATGTGAAGAAAAGGAGGAAACTGGATTGGAGGAGAAGCTGGTGAAGAAGATGGGAAGGGGACCAAGAAACCCCAGATTTCACTTTTCATGGACGGTGCATAACCCATCCAGGATCCCGTATCGCATGGCGATACCGTCAACGGCGGGACGCACCTGCGCTGGCATCGTAAGCATAGACATGATTGGCTACGTGATGTCATACAGAGGCTGACATTGCAGCACTCAGCATATTCTGTCCTCGTCTGCTGTGTGCTGAGTCACGAATGCTAGGCTGGGGCATGACGGAGTGCACCATCCCACACTTAACGGTTCGAAATGTTGCTGAAATGGCAACATACAGCGTGTACACGGCGGGAATGTTGCCAACTGCAGATTCTCCACGTGACGCCTGCTGGTCGTATTCATTGGACTGGGACTCGTCACGCGTAAGGTGGCCATTTCGTCAAAACTCAGGGTCCGCATGGATGTCGCATTCAGGGTTCGTACGCGTTACTCCCTGAAAACTCAGTTTTGGGATGACGCAAACCCTAAAATTCTAAGTGTTCACAGACATACAACCCTGAAGAGGTTAGGGTTCAAAAAAGCCCAACCCTGAAAATTAAGGGTTGGCCAAAAGAATACCCTATGAAATCAGGGAATCAGGGTAAAATACCCTGATAACGACAGGCCTGCTGCCCACCCGCTTCTGCCCTCGCCCTAGCCTAGCGCCCCGCCGTTCCCTTAGCGCGCCCCGCTGGCCTTAGCGCGCCCCGCTAGCCCTCAGCGCCCCGCTAGCCCTTAGCGCCCCGCTAGCCCTCAGCGCCCCGCCAGCCCCGTTCGTGCCCCCGCTAGTCCCTCGCGCGCGCCCCGCTGGTCCCTTACGCGCCCCGCCCGGCCCTCTCGCCCCACTAATCCCTTACGCACCCCGCCGACCACTTGCTCGCCCGCTGGTCCCTTATCGCCTCGCCGGCCCCTCGCGCCCCGCTGGTCCCTTACACGCCCTGCCGGCCCCTCGCGCCCCGCCCGGCCCTCGCGCCCCGCTGGTCCCTTCCGCGCTCCGCCTGGCCCTAGCGCCCCGCCAGCCCTTAGTGTTACCGTATTATATGTATAAAATTGTAGACTTGGTAGGTGTTGCTGGATCCTACTGTAGAGGGTACAACTGTTGAACAACTAGGAAGCTAGGAAGCCATGAAATGGCGTGAGGGTTTAGGTAGGAGAAAGTTACGAGATAAAAGAGAACGAGAATAGAAGAGAGAGGAATACAAGGAGGGGGGTTGTACCCTCTACAGTAGTTTTCAGTAACACCTACCAAGCCTACCAGTTATATATATCAAAGATATAATTCAACACACCCCCTAGGCTTGGTAGTCGAAAGCACACCACACACACCCCCTAAAATCTAGCACCCCCATACTTAGTAGTAGCGACGGCAGGGCCTCAGATTGCAGGCTTTTTACCCTGATTCAGGGTAAAATCAGGGCTTTTTTTGGGG